AATATGCCCTCCATTAAATTTTCAAAGTGATCCGTTGTCTGGTTCACCAGAAACGTCTAATGTGCCATCCACCGTGAATCAGCCTGTATAATGACCACTACTTATATTACTATATAATATATTTTACCAGATTTATCTGAGAAATCTTACCCGATCATATTTTGGACGTGCCTTAACGATTTTATATGGCTTTTCACCAGGTTTAACAACCTTGGCATCTTTTAACCAAATATCTCTGGATTTACAAACAAACACACAATTTCTTGGATAAACTGGTTCACCCCTCACATAACCCAGCGGTTGGATATCAGGGGGATATATATCTTCAAATTTGAGCAGATGCCTCCTTAGAGCATACAGCGGATGATTTTTGTATCTAGAAAAAATATTGGAAAATGAAATCGAGTCACAAATAGGAAATATGTTCTTAAAATTGTACTCAACATCATCTCTGTCAATAAGGTTTCACGTAAAGTGTACAAACTGGGCTAACCGACTCAGGGGTTCATTTTTCAAAGTGTTCAATCATGAGTATCCTAAATGATACATAACTTAGAAGAAATATAAGAAAATGGTAATGTGAGTAATAGGGGGAATTAAAGAACTTGACCAATTCAAATCGTCAATTTTTATAGTCGTATGAATATTCCACAAACTGAATGAAATATGACTTCAATATTTATTCCCCAAGCAGCTTGTTAGTTTGCGTATACAGAAAGCTGCATGCAAAGTTTCAAAAATAAATTTTAAAAATTGAGCATACCATTCAATTTCTGAATTGAAATTGAATTTTGANAAACACAAGGGAAAGGTAAGGACAAAGTAAAACAGGTATGTAGTCTAATATTTAGAGAGTTTTATGAAACAGTTTGGAACTGTTGTAAGGATTGAAAATGAAAGATTGTTATACTTCTATAATAAATTGAAATTACTTCTGAATATGTTTCAAGTCGATGGCAATTGAATTTTCAAGGTTGTTCTTATGAAAAATCCATACTTTCCAAATGAAAATATTTAAGAAATTAGAAAGAAGTATGTTTGAAATTTTCTCGATTCATAATTGTTAGGCCATCAATAATTTCTGTTGCAATATTCAAACTACAAATAATGCGTTAACACTTTTTCTGGGACATAATTTCATGAATTTTTAAAAGTTTAATTCCATCAGAAATAAAATATACATACATTTACTGCCCTTTCCACGCTAACGTTTAACGAGCTTCGACTTTTTGAATTATTTTTATATTATGATTCCCATAACCTTCAATACTATGTTTTGGCGGAAGAAACTAGCGAAAAACTTATGGTTTTAAGACTGAGCAGCATTAGGCTCCAAAAATAACTACTTCCTCATTTACATATTATGATTCCCATAACCTTCAATAATTTGTTTTGGCCATGAACATAAATACTAGTTTTTCTTTGTTCATGGTTTTGGTGTGGTTTTGGCGGAATAAACTATGCTAGCGGAGCAACTGGGTTTAGAAATTATTAAGAGTTTCACAATGCAATATAGGGGTGACTTCTGTTTTTAATTTGCTTTTAACATTTCTGTCAAGGTCTTTAAGGGAACGGAGTATATTGGAAATGTACGAGGTCTGCTCAAAAAAATGGGATGAATTTTCATTTTTCTCAAAAAATATTCAATTATTCATGAATTTCATGAATTCATGACTTGTGTCAGCGTTTTTTCCAATTCTCAAAGCAGTTCTCATATGAGCTTTTTGGTATGTCCTTGAGGTCTCTCAGAAATTCGGTTTTTATCTCCTCAATCGTAGCAAAACGCCGGCCTTCAATCTTGGAAACAGGAAAAAGTCGCAGGGGGGCAAATCTTGTGAATAAGGTGGCTGGGGAATGATTATGGTGTTGTTTTGGCCAAAAATTATGAACAAGCAACGACAAGTGTACAATCACCGTGGCGGGTTGGCTGTCATTGGTCATCTTTCACTGCTGAACCACTGTGCATGCTACAGTCTACAGAGAAGATGGATGTCGAGTTCACGACTCTAACGGACCTCCCTGTAAATTTAGTACAGGAGCGAGTCTACAGAGGAGATGGATGTCGAGTTCACGACTCAAACTGACCTTCCTATGAATTTAATTCAGGAGCGAGTCTACAGAGGAGATGGATGTCGAGTTTACGACTCCAACTGACCTCCCTGTAAATTTAGATCAGGAGCGAGTCTACAGAGGAGATGGATGTCGAGTTTACGACTCCAACTGACCTCCCTGTAAATTTAGTTTGGGAGCGAGTCTACAGAGAAGATGGATGTCGAGTTTACGACTCTAACGGACCTCCCTGTAAATTTAGTTCAGGAGCGAGTCTACAGAGGAGATAGATGTCGAGTTTACGACTTCAACTGACCTCCCTGTAAATTTAGTTCAGGAGCGAGAGCTTCTCAACTCCTCAACTCCTGATCCAACAACTGAACCTTAAAAAAAAGATTTGGTGGTGAAGCCAGGAAACTACTGAGTCTTCTCCTCAAGAGCGGGGTACCTTATAAAACCGCCTTGCACCAAATTCTTGAGCAGGTTAGCAAACGTTTGCGCTCAAGTGATGATTAACCAAAACCAAAGGCGAAAAAGCCCTGCACGGGTGAATATAAGACATCGTTAGGTGTAGCTGACGTGCAAAAACCCTCTTATGGGAAGGTTGTCTCGGGTATCAAGGTGGGAATCTTGTAACTTGACTATCCAACTACCTCATTAACAGAGCATATACTTTGTGCTTGCCCTGCTGGGGACCGAATCAGGTTTTTAGAGTACGGCAGAGCCGTACTCTTACCATCTGACCTGAAAGACCACTCACCATACAAACTAATCGGCTTCGTTAAGAAGCTGGGTTTATTTGGTGAGTGTGAATAGGTGTGAGCCACAATAAACCCTTGCGGGTTGCGGTGGAGGGTCGAATAGACCCACTCACTTTGGACCTAACCCTAACCTAACAATCACCGTATGCCATTGTCAACATTTCAAGTGTTCTTGAGAACTTGGTTCCATTTTTCACACAACATTTGATGCAAAATCTTTGATCCATTTTCAAATCGCCGAACATGCAAAACACATCTAACTTTCATGCCTCCCACCAACAAACTAAACATGCTGAACAGCTTAAACTTTAAACATATGTTCGAGACGAGTGTACCAACATGAAAAAATCGCTAATCGAATGTACGTAGTGCCCGAAGTTCGAACAATCACCTCATTTTTTGTACATACCTCGTATTTACTTATGGTGAATATGGTTGTCTTATATTATATTCTTTAAAAAAATCTCACTTACATATAATTCACGAACACAATGGACTTGTCCCTTAACAACATCAGCTGTAATCCATTTCTCCTCTGCCTCCAAGAAGACTTCTACCCAAACATTGACTCCCTTCTTTTTATTTTTTCCAGATTCATCCAAGTCGCTGTCATCCGAAACAATTTTTGCTCCAGGCCTATCCCGTTTCACGCTGACTCTTTTTTTAACCTTTGTTTTTGGAACAAAATACTCCAGATCACTATCACTGTCATGGTGCTTCTTCTTTAAGGGCTCTGGGAAGTAGTCACTGTCAGAGCTACTTTGCTCATATTTATTTTTCCTTTTCTTTACCATTTTACTTCGATCAATATGCTTTTGTTCAGATATACGTCCTTTGATTAGATTTATTACGTCGTTTCTCACGTCTAATTGTTGTTTGGGTTTTACACTCGAAACATTTGAATGCAGTTTTGAAAAGTTTGGTGTTTTCGATTTTTTTTGTGGTTTCGCTAAGAACTCATCTCCAGAACTTTCTTCTTTCATATCATTAGTGTTTGAACAGCTGGCACGTTTTCTCAGTTTGCAAGTGCTCTTGGACAATTCCAATTTACCATTATCAAGTGTTTTTGACTTTATGATTTTTTTAGGTTTTTTATCATCGCTGTGACCATCTAACTGCCATATATTATCCAGTTCATCTGATGAATCATTCACTCCATCAAGCTGAGGTGGGTTTCTCATGTTCCTTTTTTTTGAAAGTGAATTTCCTTTGGAATCAGGATTAGACCTTGAACGAGTTATTACTTTTGGAACATTTGGCATAGTACCTCTGGACGCTTTTTTAGTTTCACTTATGGTTGGCAGATTAGATTTTTCGTGGGCACCCGTTTTTGAACTATTTGACATAACACATCTGGATGATTTTTTAGCTTTATTTATAGTTGGAGAATCAATTTTCTCCTGGCCCTCTTTCTTTGCCGATTCTTCTTTCTTTAAGGTTGATTTCGAATTTGATATCCTGGTACTGCGAACAACACTTCTTATTTGTTTATTATTTTTCGAATCTTCCTGATTTGTTGAGGTTTTTTCCATTTGGTTTTCCTTACTTTCCTCTTTTTTGACGTTTACTTCCAATTTCACAGAAGTGCTGGGTTTCATGTTTTTATTCTGCACCTCAGATGAAGAATCGTACTTTGAAATTTCCTTTGTGTTATCTGACTTGGTAGTATTTTTTGAGATTCCTTTTTTTGTACTTAGATTTTTTTTGTCGACAACTTCTTTTGATAAGGAATGCAACTCACTAGCAGGTGGACGCAGAGGCTCGACTTGGAAGGAAAGAACAAGCCTACATTGGATTCCTAAAGCTCTCATAATCGCAACAAATATAAGAACATACATTTTTTTATCAAATGCTTCTTTTTTATTGATTTGCAGTTGTAAAGAGTTCAACAGTGTAAGATCTTTTTGCAGAGGTTTTTCGTGAATCTTGATGTTTTTTTTATACCACTGCACTATTTGCTCAAGGTAACCCAGATCTATCCTGTCAGATGGATAACATTTATCGGACGGTAAAAGTGAGAGAGCCAATCCTAAAATATGAGTATTGTTAATAGTTGAATTTAAGAAGTTTCCATGAGCTATCCAACATAGAAGATGAACCTTGTGTACATATATTTGGTTTTCTTTCCTAATACGATTAAGTCTTCTCTTCATTGCTGACAATAAATCGACCCCCTTCTTCTTCTTACAATGGTCTGGCATTTCACCCACAGTTATCTCCAAACCTGTTTTACTCGCCTGCGACACTTTATTCTCAGGCCGATCTTTAACTTTGACTTCTTCCCAATCATCCTCTGAACTCTCAAAATCACTTGGATGTAAATCCTCTTCTTTTATATTTTCTAGAGTGATTTGTTTCAACTCACCCTTGGCTAATAATGAGGATATGTCTATGTTCGCCTCTTTCAGTTTTTTCTTAGCATTATATTCTTCAACTTGTTTCTTAGCCTCTTCTATTTTACGAGTATACTCTGCAAGTTGCTGGAAATTTAGTTTTGATTCCTCTACCTGCACAGGGGCTTCAGTTTCTTTTGCCACTAATCCAGTTTCATTAGCAGAATTCTCTTTTACATCTTCCAGGTCTGAATCAGAAGAATCATTCAATATATTAACTCCAGAAAACATGTTTTTTTCAATTTTTTCGAATTCAGTTTCAGTTTCTTTTCGACTGTTGAAAAATGACGAAGAAAAATCGATTTTATCTACTCTTTGCAGGTAATTCTCAATATCGCTTTCACTGGAAGATGAATCATCGTTTTTTGGTTTAATTGCAGGTTTTGTTTTTTCAGTAACATTTTTTGATGTTGTCCGGAGCTTTTTCAAAGGAATATCATCTTCACTGTCACTACTGCTATCATGAATTGGCTCTTTTCTAACTGATCTCCTTGTACGTCGCATTGTTCTGAAAAATATCTCAATTATTTAAGTTTGATTTCCATATAACAGTTCGAATGTTAGTTTAATGAACATTTCAATAATTTCTTATAACAACATTATCTAGTTATTCTTTTACGAGATAAAAAGTTTGGTCATATATTAAGAATCAATTATTTTGTCTTTATTATCCCAAGAAAAATAAAAGTTTATGAGTAGGATCAACTAAATAAACGAGCAAACAGTGAAATGTGAAAATATCCATATTTAATATAAAAATATTTAGATGATGTATTAGATTTGAAATTACCAACTGATAATGATTTTGTTTGTCTAGTGTTATGACTATTATTGATTTCTATGAAATTTATGTTTCAAATTTCTACTTATTTGTTATTGAATGGACAAAACAACAAATTTTTTGTTTGTATAGTGTGTCCAAATCTGATAAATTTTTTGGTTTTTACAATTTCACTGTAGGTTCCGATTGAGATAATTTATATATGCATTTAATAGTTTTATTTCAAAGGTTCTATTGTTGATTGATTGGCTGATCCCCAAATAGATAAGATAATGCAGTTGGGAGTATATAAGACTGAAATAAATATTTTTCAAGAGGAATATAGTTCCTGATTTTGAATACAATACCAATGAGGGGTGCTACTTTTTTTTTTCAACAAGACCGGTAAATCAAAGGTGTGTATCAATCAAATTTCTAATTAATTAATTATTTTACTGACGTCGGCAACACTTATGTTCGAGTCTGAAAGTTTAATGGAAATCCATCTTTGGCATGGCATGAGGGAGTGAGACTGATTCATCGAGTTAAAAAATGAAACTATACTTATCACATTCAACCCGTATTAATTAATGAAAATGATAGTTTACGCTTGAGGAAGCTATTATATATTTATAGTGAAAATCATACAATATACATAGTTTTAATACGGATTTTCATCAAGTATCTGTCACTTCCATTCAATTATTGAAATCTACTTATTTCGTGATTTATATAATAACAATTTGGATCATATGACCTTCAACCTACTTAATGCCTAACAATTTTAAATGAGTTCTTAAAAACGAATCGAAATTTCAAACATCGTGAAAGAAAATGTTTAACAAACTCATTACATGGACATGTAGAAAAACTAATTACCAATTTTCACATTGGAAAACAGATTGAGATAAAAGGTGAATAATTCCATTGCTTCTGGTCATTCAGTGAATTTCCAGTATTTTGAAATCCACCAATTTGTAAGCATTCCTAGAGATTTGAGTTTTCAAACCTTTCTGTTGTCACAGACAATAAACTGACGACTTCTCTTTTTTCCTGAGCTATCACAAAGTGAAAACCAACATGCAGAATTTGAGACAGCTACCGACAAAGCGGGGGATATCAAAGATAACAATGGCCATATTCAATCCACTTGGTTTCTTGTCACCAGTGATAAACTGAATTGAAAATCTTCAGGCAGCATCTTATGACGAATTAGAAATGGATGGGACGACAACCCCTGAAATGGAAACTAAATGGACCCAGCTTGAACAAGAATACGAGGTAATTTAAGAAATATCAATACCCAATGTTGTTTTTCTGACATTCCAATCCCACTGTGGAATTGCATAGTTTCTCTGATAACAGTGAAAACGCTTTTTATGCAGTGTAGAGTATTCTCTTGTGTGACAATTCGAAAATTGTATACAAAGACAAAAAAATTAGTAGACCTGCAGAAGCAAATTTTGAGCTATTTTGAATACTATCGTGAATTTTCTCATTATTATACATGTACATCAGAGTCTATTAAGTACAGCTTATAAATAATAACCTATACATAAACACTTTCTAACAAAACATTCAAGAAACATAAAATTAACAAAAAAAAATCAGTATAACACAGGTCATTGAGTTGTGTTCCGTTAAAGAAATATATCAACTCTTCTCATGTTTATAAAATATATTTATTTTGGGAAAACTTTTTACCCTTTTAAAAAACTTAACTAGATTTAGCTCCTTCCACTCGTTTGGAAAAAAATTGTAATATTCAATCAACAAAAAATCTGAAAGAGTTGAGATTCATTGATAAGCGAAAGTATGGTGCTATACCATATTTATATCTGGTACCTGTTATTCTACATGTCTGGAAATGTTTTTGTTCTTGGCAAAAAGTAAGTATTTGTAAATAAACATATTACTTACCACCAATATATTTAGTTTTTTTATGTGGTGGACAATTTTCATCAAGTTATGCATACATTTCTCTTGTCTTTCTTAGCATTATAAAAACTTTATCGTGTGCAGATCCATCTCATGGGAGAATTTCATAAGACATGATACAGTTGAAAAGAGCATAGTAGGCCACTTTATTGATTTTAACATTTCAACTCATTCAAATGCTTTGAATATTTCAACCCTTACAAATAATTGTCTTCAAGTTCCTAGATTGATTTAGTCAATTGTACCTAACATTATTTTCTTCAATTTTGATTACAATAAGATGCTCTTAGAGGTAAGTTCACTGTGATTTTCATTAGTTCAAACTTCCATTGTCTACTATGATTCGAAATCTATGAAAGAACAAATAAAATTAGAACGAATAGCTAAAATATCAATTATATTAAGCAGTGTCCGAACTAATGAAATTCACCATGAAACATTGTTACCACTTTCAACCAAACGTTCACTGTGATTGTCATTCCTGAAAATAAAGCTATATTCTGTTCTATTCTAATGCAACGAAGCCATAATGCAATTAGACTGCGGGCGAATCACTACAGATGAAGAAGAAATCGCACAAAATCATCGACGTGTTCAGTGTTGTCAGGTCTACTGATTTTGCAGTAGATCTCCTCTTCTGGCTCTCGAGTTACTGTTCTTCTGTTTGAGAGTTAAAAACTACTGTATTTATAAAATATGTTTTCTGCAATTTTTTGTGTCAATAAAATGTTCTGCTCAGCATGAGAATGATCTGGCAATACAAAAAATATTACTACAAAAACGAACAGAATATTATGAAAAAAAGAATAATGAAATAAATTATACTAAATGATGTCTGAACATGGGATGATGTGGCAACAGACCTTTGGGATATAAAACCATAGAAAAAGTAAGTATATTACTTTGATTTACTTTAGCAATGATTAGCAATGAACTGAACATTTTGGGGAATCTGAAGAGACCAGAACATGTACAAGTTGTCAGTAGAATCATTCAAGAGGAAATATTTTTCAATTGATAATATAAAGTTGGTGAAGAAAGATATAGTTGATCTTAATTGAAATACTGCCCGCATTCCCCAAGGATCAGTACATTAAGCATAAGTGCAATATTTAAAGCATAGTAAATTTGATTCAAGTACAGTACAACATTACTACATATAATTGTCAGACCATGAATGGCTTCTGCTTCTTATAGCGTTAAGCTGACAGAACCAAATCAAAATCCCTCACTTTTTAGAAATTTCAATCTTGCAATAATTTTAGTCTCATTTTTGTCTCCTTCATTATGTTATTGAACAAAATTTATTGATCTTTGTTTGAACTGAATATTTGGATGACTATTTCAGGACGGGAAATAACTTTTTGATTTTTTTTTAAGACAATATAATAATTTTTCAAGTGTAATAATATACAGTGCAGACATAAATAGTAACCCCTCCTCTTAACTTTTGAATGGTGCATCACTTACTGCCTAGAGGCTGCCATCAACTTTTTTTTTCAAATGGAAAGGTGAGTCTTATGACATTTCGTATGTATTCGTAAGTATTCAGCTGAAGAGCAAAATATTCATTTCATCATCATAATATTGACTTGATTAGTGAGTGAAAATGTGAACATGCAAGAGTCTTGAGGTCACCCCATTGTTGAAATTTAATTGTGTCTTAAAATTGTACAAACATTATTGAATATGGAGCACCAGTATATTTTTGAAATTTGCCTTTCAATGTAAATATATCTAATCTTCCAATTAGTCAACTTGGTAACCTTGAAAGGAGAATCTCATTCAAGGTAAACACAAGAGAAAGGTAAGGACAAAGTAAAACAGGTATGTAGTCTAATATTTAGAGAGTTTTATGAAACAGTTTGGAACTATTATGGACACTGTGTAAGAAGGATTGAAAATGAAAGATTGTTATACTTCTATAATAAATTGAAATTACTTCTGAATATGTTTCAAGTCGATGGCAATTGAATTTTCAAGGTTGTTCTTATGAAAAATCCATACTTTCCAAATGAAAATATTTAAGAAATTAGAAAGAAGTATGTTTGAAATTTTCTCGATTCATAATTGTTAGGCCATCAATAATTTCTGTTGCAATATTCAAACTACAAATAATGCGTTAACACTTTTTCTGGGACATAATTTCATGAATTTTTAAAAGTTTAATTCCATCAGAAATAAAATATACATACATTTACTGCCCTTTCCACGCTAACGTTTAACGAGCTTCGACTTTTTGAATTATTTTTATATTATGATTCCCATAACCTTCAATACTATGTTTTGGCGGAAGAAACCAGCGAAAAACTTATGGTTTTAAGACTGAGCAGCATTAGGCTCCAAAAATAACTACTTCCTCATTTACATATTATGATTCCCATAACCTTCAATAATTTGTTTTGGCCATGAACATAAATACTAGTTTTTCTTTGTTCATGGTTTTGGTGTGGTTTTGGCGGAATAAACTATGCTAGCGGAGCAACTGGGTTTAGGGACTGAGCAGTAAAAGAATATGTTCCAAAAATAACCACTTCCTAACCGCTGCTTGCTAATCAGAAATTTTGACAGATTACCTGGAAAATATAATATTGTTAGCTACTTTTGAAACAAGACGATTGTGTCAATGTCACTGTGACATGAATTTTCCAAATAATTAAATGTGATTAAAAGTGATTAAAATGAATATTGAAATCCGCCGCTTCTCTCCAATAGTTACTTTTGAGTTCTGAGGAAGACGAAAATCACAAAGAACTAACATTGAAGAATTTTATAAACAAAGGATGAATTTATTCCCTATTCTTTATGTGATCATACAAATCCATTCGATAAAACAAAGAATGGCAGATTTTAAAACGGTAAATGTTTCATTTTTTTGAAATATACAGTTAATTGTTAAAAAATACTGAATATACACATACAATAATCATACCGAAAAATCTAAGTGAATGGGGAGCGAATATGTGAGAACACGTTTTCATCGCAAGATGAATAGTGTACCTCAACAAAACCAGCTACTATCTGTGATTAACTTGAATATGACAATTTATAAAAACAGTTGTAATTCTAGTACAAGCAATAGAGAACAGCTAATGTTAATGTTTGAGTTCCCCATGCAAATTTTGTCAAATCAATTCAAATTATGGTTAAATGCGCCTGAATAAGGAAGCAACGATCATATAATTAGAAGAAGAATAATACTTTGAATTATCTTGATAATCGATTCGATATCTCGTATTATTGTGATAATCGAATAATCGATTGTTTTTAATTCGAATTAGCCCATCACTAATAATTATTTGTGATAACTGTAACTGTATTAGATGTAAACATAGTCGTAATATCATATAACAAGGATAACATTAGTATTTTTTATGTTTATGTTTATGGAATAACATTTTCAAATTCTACTTGTAGAAAAACCTTGGGTGGTAAGTGAAAAGTGAGTAATAAACAATGGAAAAAATCCATTTTATTATTTAGGTAGGTTATATTCAATTTTATTGATCAATATTATTGACTTTATGTAATAAATAGATTATAGTGATCATTCGTTCAAAAATATTGTTTAATGTTATTGCATTTCTATAAAACTGAAAGCCTTTTCGGTTGGACAATGGAATTGATTCAATCAAATTGAGCACTGCTTGCCCATGAGAGCAAGTCTACAGTCGAATCCAAACACTTTTCAACGTCTGAGTATAAAATCTTTGGAGGACTTGTCATAATACAAAGTTTTTGTAGTTGTATCAAGTACAAGACTCTCTATGTGAAAATTTAAAAAATATAAAAATATGCACACACACTTTTCATCTTGACAGCTATTTATTTCAGTTTTTGTTAAACTGACACATTCTAATATGCATCTTCAGTGTCTATATTTTTTGTTTCACTGAAATGACTGACGATTCCCATCGTTTTTATACTCTTTGATTCCTCTTCCAGTTGGCATTTTTCATTCTATGAGGGAATGTTTGAAATAGAGTAGTGGGGGAATGTCAAATCAAATAAAATTCGTCCATATGCTTCTCAAAATTGTTAATACTGTCGAGTATACTGTAGAAAAAAATAATAGTAAAATAATGAATAAAAATGAAGCCAATCTTTGGATAGCTAAGTAAGAAAATTAATATATTATAGTAGTAACTAATCCCTCGACTTTCATTTCTTCGAAAGTTGGGGTTGGGAAAATTTGGATTCCCCCCCACCGGTTTTTCTTTTCGCGACTGCCTGTGTAAAGCTAATGAAAACCCAATTTTTGGCTATTCATGATTTTTGTGGACTTTATCAGATATTGATTTGATAGGCTCTCAGATTATAGAATGCAACAATTTTTATATGTATCAAATATATTTTTCAGCATTTTTTCTGAAAATCATTTTCCATATCTTTGCAAATTAATTTTATAGCCCATCTTAGATATTTTTTATGTTTTATATTTTTCTATTCACCACTTTATATACAATCAATAAATGATGAATGAACACAAACACCAAACATGCTTGTGTGTGAGGAATGTAGGGATAGGAAAAAGTTTTTTGGCTTGCTACTTATCTCTATACAAAAAAATGAGAAAGACTTCCTAAGGAAGGAAGAAAGTTATATCAAGTTCAAAATAAACTCCTTACAAAGATGTGAAGATTACCTATATATAAAAGATACTTTCAGATACAAACTGGAAGAAAAAGCCCTCATAAAACAACTACTTTCACATGAACATTGAATTATTCAGCTTGTACTCCAAACATTCGTTATGGTATTGTCACAGTTATCATTTGTAGGAACACTACATAATATATATTATATGAATGATTACTATATAAAATGTCTCTTAAACTTCCAGTTTTTATCTGAGATTAACTGGTATACATGATCAAAGCATCTTTGTAAAGAGTTCATTTTGAACTTGATTGCTTTTTTCCTTCCTCCGGAAGTTTTCAACGTTTTTTGTATAAATATGGAGGAGTAGAATGCCAAAAAGCTCTTTCCAAAAAAACTAATCCCTGCTAAAAAACCCTTTTAGTTTGAATATAGGGATATATTCAACATTTTCAGGGGAATACATGTATTAAATGAATTTTGAATTTATGCAGTTCTTTATACTTACTTACATATGTTTCTCTTTAGTGCTTTTTTAAAACATGCCTCGAACAAGAAGTTCCTTTAAAAATATTTCAATAACTGAAAAGGATATGGATGAAGTTCCTCTGAAGAAATTCCGATCAGCTAAAAAGAAAAAAAATGAAAATTCACCACAAAAAAAATACAATGAATCATCCTCTAGTGAAAGTGATATTGAAAATTACTTGAAGCCAGTAAATGGGATTGATTTTTCTTCGTCATTTTTCGCAATCTCAAGAAAAAGTGAAAACGAATTTAATAAAATTGAAAAAAACATATTTTCTGGAGTTACTAGACTTAGCGATTCATCAGATACAGACTCAGAAAATGAGAAAACAGACATACCTTGTCAGCCAGCAACTATAGAGAAAGAGATACATGAAAGCTCAAGTCAGCCAAATATTACTAAAGATTTTCAATCACTTCAAGAATATACTCACAGAATTAAAGAAGTCAAACTACAAATAGAAGAGTACAAAGCCAAAAAACAAGTCAAAGAATCTAATTTGAACATATCTAACCTCCTGGCACAGGGTGAATTGAAACACGAAACTCTAGATAATTTAAAAGAAGATTATCATTCCAGCGACTTTGAGAGCACTGATGATGATTGGGAGGAAGTTAAAATAAGCCAACAAGAGACTAACGAAAAATTTGAAGTTCCTAAAAAGAACTTAGAGATTATTGTAGGCGCAATGCCAAACCATTGCAAGAAAAAAACAGAGGCTGAATTACTTGCAGCCATGAAAAGGCGGCTCAATCGTATAAGGAAAATTAACCAAATATTTGTTCACAAGGTACATCTACTGTGTTGGATAGCACATGGAAACTATGTAAATTCTGCAGTGAATAGTTCCCAAGTTCTTGCCATGGCTCTTTCTCTACTACCCTGTGACATGTTCCAGTCACCAGAAACAGTCAGCCTAAGTGACATTGAACAAATCATACAATGGTACAGAACTACAGTAACACTTATAGAGAAACCTTCACCAAAAAGACTAGATTTTCAAAACTATTTACATTTGCAAATCAACAGAAAGCTGGCTTTCAACAAAAGAAGCTTTGTTTTTATTTTAACCAGTATCTTGAGGGCTCTAGGACTGCAATGCAGACTTGTGTTTTCTTTCCAAGTTGAACCACTGAGACCATTAGATAGTGATCTACATACTTTAGCGAAGAAAACTTCTGAAAAAATAAGCGGAGCCAGTGCAGAGGCTTCATGTACCCAAGAAAAAGTGGTTGAAGATTCAAGTAGCGGTATTCAGCAAGACACAATTGGTGAACAAAAAATTGACAAAATTGAAAAAAATAAAACATCCAAGAAAGTGATAGGGTCTAAAAGAAAAAGTGAAGAAGTGAAAGCACCAAGAAAAAAGATTGAAAACATCATTGAAAGTAAAAATAATAATAATTTGTCAGAAACAGATAAAAATAAGAAAAGATCCAAGAGTAATTCATGTGTTGCTACATTAAAAAGCTCAGAAGTAAAACAAACTCGCTCAAAGTCAAATAGTGATACCATTGAAGATGATCAACTAACCAGAACAAAGACTAGAAACCTGAAAAATTCTAGGTGTGTGCCTCAACTTGATGGTGTAAATGATTTATCAGATGAGTTAGGAGACATGACTCAAACAGTAGGCGTCAAGACCAAAAAAAAATCCAAAAAGGCTACTGGAACTAAGAAACAAGATCCACCAAAAAATGACACATTGAACAGATCTTCTTTTGTTAAACGACGTTCCAGTCGTATAAAAATAAGATCTTATGGAAATGATTCTGAAGATGAGTTTGTTACAACCTCTCAAAAACATAGCCCTACAAGGAAGACGAGACTAAGAAAATCCACTTGTAGTAAAGCACTAACAAGTGAGGTGGATGTCAAGTACCTTGTAGACTCAACATGTTCCACTAAACTGACAAATAAAAGAAAAAGTGGATATGGAGACAGTGACTATGATAGTGACTTTATGCCAGAACTTGAAAAAAGAAAGCACCTGGATCCAGAGAGTAAGTTGAGTGTACCAAAAACCAAAAAGATAGGTGTCATCCGAGGAATTAAACATACGGAAAATGTGTCTGATATAAAAAGTAAAACACCCAATAAAAATAAGCTGAATGTTGATGTGTGGGTAGAAGTGTATTTAGAGACAGAGAAAAAATGGATTGCTGCTGATATAATCACAGGGCAAGTTGACTGTGTTAGTGAATTATCTGTAAGTACCTTTCATTTATATTTTTACTAAGTTAGACACACAACCTTATTGAATCGCTTGCAAAATGCATTAAGGTTTGGGAGTGTAAAGAAGTAGCGAGTTGTATGGAGACATGATTTATAGATTTTTTTGTCCAGTAGTAGGGTACAATAATTTTCAAACTTAGTATGCCAAGAAGGTTTTTAGACAAAACAGTTTCTATTGAAAAGTTGACTGATATGATTTCTAAGCGTTTTTCAGTATAGGTGCAGAGGGAAATAATAACTAATGATTTTATGATTACCGAAAGGGTGGAATATTCGTAAATTAAATGCAAAGTAGACTTATTGGTATAACAATCTACATTTTGAGATATTAACAAGTACCTAATCCTCGACACGGAAATTCAAATATGGCTACACATAGGGATAAGTTTCCTATAGCTAGAAACCAAAATAATATTTTGAAGGTATATGTTGGAATTGGCCGATATTTGATGAAAATATATAACTAACGTATTCAAAAAACATTTTATTGTGAGATTTTCACTAAACAGTTTATATATTTTTACTAAGTTAGACACACAACCTTATTGAATCGCTTGCAAAATGCATTAAGGTTTGGGAGTGTAAAGAAGTAGCGAGTTGTATGGAGAAATGATTTATAGATTTTATTGTCCAGTAGTAGGGTACAATAATTTTTAAACTTAGTATGTCAAGAAGGTTTTTAGACAAAACAGTTTCTATTGAAAAGTTGACTATAGTAGACTATATTCCGCCTGATGTGACTAGCTTATCTAAATGAGAACTATAAATACGATAGGTTGCTTTTTATGTTTCGGGATTTGGCAACCTTAGTGTTGCAATCTGGCAACTGACAGCTCTATCGTAAAGGTGAACATTTTTGAGCTTATACGTACTCATACATTTTGACATACGCGCGCTATTTGTGTTGTTTACAGTAACTTTAAAGATTCATCTCGGCCCAAAAATGGAATTAAATCGTGAACATTTCCATGCGATTATTTTTTACAACTTTTGACGTAGATCAACACGGCAACAGTGCATGGATGAACTTAATTCAATTTTTGGCGATGAAGCTCCATCAAGGACCAGTGTATATCGATGGTATGAATATTTCAATCGTAGTCGTAGTTTACTCTGAGACGAATTTGGTGAAGGTCGTCCAAAATCAGTTGTTGTTCCGAAAACCATTGTTGCTGTGCGCGAACTGATATTTCAAGATCGTCATGTGACCTATCGTGAGATTAAGACAACCTTAGGCATTAGTGGGACCAGCATACATTCAATATTGCATAAACATTTGACTGTCAAAAAAAATTGTTCGCGTTGGATCCCATACAATTTGTCAATCGCTCAAAAAAAGGATCGTGTCGATTGGTCGAAGGAAATGCTCAAAGAATACGATCGCGGTGCTTCGATACACGTCTATGACATCGTGACAGGTGATGAATCGTGGAATCACTCGTATGAGCCCGAAAGTAAACAGCAGTCGACTGTATGGGTGTTTCACAATGTGCCAAATTCAACAAAAGTTGTTCACGCACGAAGCATTTCCAAGCAAATGGTCACCTGTTTTTTCGGAAAAACTGGACATGTCGCAACCGTACCACTAGAACAAAGCAGAACAGTCCATTCTGAGTGGTACACGATCATTTGTTTGCCAGTTGTCTTCCAAGAAATCAGGAAAACCAACCGCCGAAGACGGATTACTCTTCACCACGACAATGCGAGCTCTCACACATCGTCTCAAACAACTGCATTTTGGAGCACTCAAAACATCGATTTGATGAGTCATCCACCTTATAGTCCCGACTTGGCACCGAATGACTTATTTGGTTTTGTTCTCTAATCCCGAAATATAAAAGGCAACCCTCGTGTAACTAGTAGTGTGTTATTCACTGGTGGGTTATGCTCAGTGGTGGGTAAATTGTTGCATATATCTTTTTCTTTGTATCCTCACTTGATCAATTAACATATTGTGTTAACAGTTGAATTATTGATTGTTGTTCCGCTATTTTCATATTTACCATTTTTATCAAGTTTTCAAGTCATTTTTTGTTGTAGTTGTGTTCATCTTCTTGTAGTGAACCACAAACTGAAAACATATTGCGATTTTATTATCTCTCTATGTCAAATTCCGGCAATAAATATGTATATGGGTATCAGTTCGTTTGATTTGATCTGGAACAAATGTAATTTTTTAGCAATTTCTCAACCAACCACTAATACTATCCACTATTTTGTGGTGAGCTCGAAAATAGTCAAGTGGTGATATCTTGATCAAGTCTAGATCCTTATGACAAATGAGACCGAAAATTGAAATTGAGCTACTATAAAGATAAATGGTTCGATTCTCAAGAGGGAAGTTGATTAATTATTTGCTTTAGTCAGTGCAGCCATCCGATCTTGAAATATGATCAATGTTCCAAGAAGCTAAATATTCATTGGTCTGAACTAAATGTGTAAAATGCAAGAGTTTATGCATAATTTAGTATGATGCAGTTTTAAAGGTGTAAGGGTGGTGGAATGAAGATTTTTCGCAGCGCGGATGAGATAACAAACTAGGAAAGGCTTCAAAAGTGTAAGGAAAACAGATATATGAGATTGATGCAGAAGGTTCCTAATTGAATACAATAACGTCTTGAGAAAATTTAAGAGTTACTCATGGGGGATGTAATGCAAGGGGGTTGAACAAATCCAAGCATGTGCTATACTTGATACCCTCGAAAGGACCTCAGGTCTCAATAAATAATCTAAAAACAAATGCCGGAGAGTGCACAAAAAAGGGTGAGAGAGTCTTGTACAAATTCAGAACTAACGGCTCTTAAATGAACGTCGAGGAAGGATTCGCTGGTGGCAAAAAAAGTTGTAGTTTTGGGGAAGATTAACTGGGCCCTAACTTATTCAAACCATATAATGCGATAAGATGATATTCATCGTAATGCTGGAAAAGGTCAAGAACTTCAAAGTCTGATTAGATCTTCCCCCATTCCGAACCCTGGAAAATCAGAACTCAAGACCAATCATTCCCGTATTCGGTACTAAAAAAATATTAGGAAAACTACTTGACATATTAGGAAATATCATTGGCTAACATACCACTACAACGAGAACTATATGCGTTCGAAATGGTATATCAACGGAATAAGCAAAACATGTCAACAAGAACAAAGAAATACAATATTAGCTACTTTCTTGGAGACTGAGGGTGCATTCAACAGTACAACATTAGAATAATCTAGCCGTCGAGAAGAAACTTCGCCGATACATGCTTAGATTGTCAGTATGCTCGATCATTATGGAGGAAACCGTAATATTCTCATTATTATAGAAACTTGTGATGAATGGACGAGTTATTGGAACATAATGGATACAACTGTCGAGTAAGTTTAAATATCTGGGAGTAATCCTAGATCCTAGACCGACCAGGAACCAATACTAAGGTTTAAAAAAAGGCAGAGGTAGCATTGAAACTGGTCAAAAGTACTTATGGAAAGACATGAAGGCTACACTCAATGGTGGGTAAAACCATGATAACTGATCTTCTATTGTATGGAAAAAGGTGAACTAAGAAGGGTGCAAGGACTTGCTTGCTGGAATAACGGGAGCAATAAAAACTTCACCAATAGCAGCATTGAATACACTCTTGAATCTATGCCCTTCACTTCTTGTAACAACGGTGGAGGCAATATTGGACCAATTCATACTGTAAAATTCACAGAACTTTCAAGAGATCAGGCAAAGTTTGAATTCAAGAATGTATAAAGGAACGAATATCAAATATGTTCACGGAAGTACATTTCTGAACAAATTTCAGTGCAGAAGTCGCAACAGTCATCAAGAGAACATACCTGGCTGAAACATCTGACAGGTCGAAAACCGAACATAAACGGGAGCTGGAGAATACTATTCGGGAATAAATTTATATTACAGCTGCCTGCTCTGAATGCAATTTCGCATATTAATTGGATGCCTCAAGCGCCAATGAAACAGGCAGATTACAGGTTTGACATCAAAAGTGCCATAAAAAACTGAAAAAGCTGGCAGACCGAAATATTTCAGAAGTTTAGCTCTGTATTAGACATTTCTCGCTCGAAGCGACGCGATATCTAGAGCAATCGCAAAGCGCAAGTCGAATTGAGTGCGACCTTGGCCAAATCATAATCGATTGATCAAGACCAGCAGCGGCTGGTGTTTTTTTTTTTCGTTGGATCGTTTGTTTGTAGATTCTAAAGAACTAATATAAAACTGCTAATAATGAAACAGTGTTGGATAGAGGATTAAAATACTCATCAAATGTATTAAAATACACCTCTTTCTGAATATTACTGGAGTCTTTTCAGTTTCAGTTTTAATCTTCCTCTTCGAAGATGATCACTTGGTGATCGAAACACGTGTCGAAAATAACGATTTGGTGTTGGGAAAAACTCCAGTAATATTCATTACTACACCAAAAGGTTCCAAACAGTGTGCATCATAAGTACACCTCTTTCTATTTGAAAAAAAAAATGTAGCGCTGTCTCGGCGAAAAATGAAGCAAAACTTTAGTCATTCTTATCAAAAAGTAGTGAAAATCATGCCTTTTTGTGTAAATTTCATCCGAACTTGATATCTTGTTCCATTTAAGGTTGAGAGGGACTTTTTACGTCACTCTATAAAAATTAGAAATGTTTTTATGCAATCAAAAGATCTATCATATAACTGTGATATTTTGAAGTAAACTGAAAAGTTTTTCAGAAAATGTACATTTCAGAATAGAGCAACCCAGCCTATAAATTACATTGTTGCTTGGAATAATGATAATACCCTCAAAGATATTACTATGAAGTACTGCAAAAGTTTCAATACGGTTACTCGAAAGTTGAGAGCAGATGTCAAGTGGTGGGAAGAAACTCTCAAACCATTCATAGGCAAGAAAACTTTTAGAGATATGAAAGAAGATGACGATATGAATCGACAACAGTTTGAACAACCTCTTCCAAAAGTCATATCTGAGTAAGTCAAAAAATGTTCTAGCGTTCAACAATATTATTCATGATAATGATTACAAATTTTCATAATATAGACTTCATTTCCAATACGCCTTTCACCACAACAGTAGTTTCCCTGCCTAACTGAGGAAACACTGTTGTAGTGAAACTAGCATTGAAAATCTGTTGGAATATGTTTTCCGTTAACCAGCTGTCGTCCCCACCCCCACGAACGACAACCGTCAAGAGTCTAAACTTGTGTGAGCTACGGATTAACGAAGTTTTACCTTTTAACGTGCGATTTGTGGCACGAAATAAATCTGTATTGTAAAATGTTCTAATCGTTGTCATGAAAAGTATTATTGATTTTCACCAAGTAACCGGTCAGTGTATTGAAGAATTCAAGGATGGAAAATTGCTTGAAAAAATTGCGATCCACACGAGTTTTTGCAATATCATTTCGACCTTTAAATATGTTGTAGATATAAAAACCATCCTTTATATATACTAAAAAGACACTTACTCAAATATGAAGCAGTGTATCCTCCTAATGAGGTTCCACTGGGTTATGTGAGGGGCGAACCGGTTTATCCAAGAAACTCTCTGTACACTTGCAAATCAAGAAAATTTTGGTTAAAAGACGGAAAAGTCGTCAAACCAGGCGAGGAACCTTATAAAATCGTCTCAGCTCCACCAAGATGGGATAAGGTAAAATTTATGTCACATTTGCTTTACATATTCTCATAATGAATATATTTAGATAAATCGAAAAATAGTATGTGGCGGAGATCTGGAAGTTTTTGGTGAATGGCAAACCATGGATTTCGAGCCTCCAACTGCTGAAAATGGGGTAATTCCTCGAAATGAATATGGCAATGTAGAACTATTCAAACCAAACATGTTGCCCAGAGGGACTGTACATTTGAAACGTAAGAATTTTATTTGATTAATTAACGTAAGATACAGTTTAAAAAAATATTTGAAATTATGTTGATGAAAAGAAATTAGCGCTAACTATAGTGTAGACATCAATTTCAGTTCCTGGACTCGGCAAGGTTTGCAAGAAATTGAACGTGGATTGTGCTACTGTCGTTACTGGATTTGAATTCAAAAAAGGTTGGACTCGAGCTATCTACGATGGGTTTGTTGTCTGCAAACAATTCGAAGATCAAGTTGTTGCTGCTTGGGAAATGGTAAGACTCAACAAAATTATCAGTTCAATGTCTAAAATATTTTCAAATAATCATTCAAATCAAAAATTTTGTTTATTCAGGTGACATTTTCAATGTTCTCATACACATGCACCTTCTTTGCATTTTCATGACTTACAAGATGAAATTATAGAACATGCGATAATTTAATAAACCTAAATTTATTGTAATGTATCTATGAATTTATATAAATACTTCAAGTATACCTAAATGAATTTTTAAAATAGTTTTTGAATTTGGAGTATAAGGCTCGCTGAAGTCTTGAATGTCTTTCATTATGCAATTTATATTTCTCCGTTTCTGATGGTTACTTGGTGACCATTATGTTCCTCAATCATAATCAAAATTCTTTATTTGTCCATTCTGATTAAACATTAACAAGAAATCTATTTACATACATACAAAACAAAAACATTCTCCCACATGCGGGACCAGGGTTAGGGAAGGAAAGGGGATAGGTTTGGGGGGGATGGCAGGAGGATGACTGTTTTGTTGAGCCTAACAAGACAACAGAAGACACGCCGTCACACGATCCCCCGCTGATGTTAACGGGTAGCTCTCCATTCAATAGTTTTCGCTTTTAGTCTCCGTCTATGACGTCTCTCTTCCTGCCGAAACTCACGCGAGAGATCTCCTTTTGGTGCAATTTCGATATTGCTGTATCTCATTTACCTTTGTAAGCCAATGTTATTTGTCCGGAACCTTCTGGAAGAAGTTCAGGAAAAAAAATTATGGGTAATTCTGCTTATCTCATCTTATCCAATTTTTCAATGGACTAAGCGCGATCCACGTTCTTGTCGCTCATGAAAGTTATCCAATGAATCAGAAATCAGCCCGTGTTTACGGGGCTGATCATGATAACTCCTAATAGCCGTGACGTCCCTCGTCAGCGGACTTTCCAGTAGAAAGTACTTGAAGAATTTCTGAGACAGCCTCCTGATATGTTCAGTGACTGCCTCTACTTCAGCCAGATCTAAAAGATCCACCAAAGAAATGTATCCGTCACTGTTCGTTCAAATTCGGAGCACCTTATTCTGCATCATATCGAGTCGCTGCAGTCGCTTCTTGGATCGCCAGACTCAAGTGTTCCTGAAAATTCAGGCGCCTATCCAGGATAACACCTGAATACCGCGCGCTTTTCTGCTCATGAACGCTCACGNTTCAAGATATAATCGAAATTTTTTACAAATAAAATTTATGGTACTCGTTTGAAAATGTCCTTGTAGGACGAAACTGCAGTGTCGTTAATTACAAATACAAAGTTTCGTACATCTCGTTTCCATTTTGATAAATCAACTATCACTTTAGAAGATAATTCAAGCTAGTGTTGCCAACGTCTCGGTGGAACTACTCGCTTTGTGTGCGTGCGACTTATTCAAGTTAAAATTTTCTGTCAAATGTTACTATTTTCACAAAATCTGCAGAACTCTCATTTGCTACATCTTCCTGTACAAAACATCAAAACCAGTTCTTGAATAGTTCCGAATGTTTGCTAAATATTCCACTGGATATTATAAATAGCTGAAAAAGATTTTATCACATACTTGAAACAAAAAATACCCGAATAATTTTATGATAAATGGAGACAAAATAAACAGGTGAAAGGGGCGCCTACCTAACCTAATATCTTCCTGAAATTATTCTTCCTTCCCTCACCCCAGTTAACCCTGTTTGTTCTCTCTGTCCAGTCAATACTCTATCAGCAACCAGCAATGAATAATTGTACTAATTACGCAACAATAGTAACACAGTAGACACTTGTGTCTAAGCACAAGAATATAGGCTGCACATTGCAAGCATCCCCGGACGAAGCTGTTATTCCATAACGTAAGTTATGTAATAAAAGATGACTGGTCTACTGCGCCTCAGAGGAGGAGGAAATAAGCGAAGAAGAAGAAGAAGAAATTATGTATTTTATTCATGATTTTATGTCGTTCTCTCTGAGTGGGATCTTTGAAATAAATAATTTTATGACCAGCGACAATGCTGCTTCATTAACTAGGTGATGGAGTGGTTCAGATATATTTTATATTTACATATCTAAATTCTACCTGAAAGCAGGAATATGCTATCAAAATCTAGTCGATTTGTATGGAAAATCATTCAGTGCCGAACAATTGTATCATGTAGGATATCAGATTCAAAAATAATTTCTTCACCTTTGCCAATAAATCCTAATCAACATTTGAGGTACTCTCTTCCCAGGCTGTACTGTTCAAATTCTAATAAAAACCCGTATATAGCTCATGATACTGAAGTAATTCCAAAAGGGATTAAAAATATCGATGAAAAACCAGAGAAACTGAAAAATACAGAACAAGACAGAGAAATTTATGTTCTCCAGGATTTGAAAGAATCTAAAAAAAAAATTAAAGAAAAGATTGAAGAAGTCGTTGAGGTACACCACTAACATAGATTTATTCAAATATATACATATATTCATTTTTTAGAGAGAAAATGTTTATACTATCCCTAATTTTTTATGTGTGGCAAGGATAGCTATATCTCCTTATTTAGGATGGTTAATAGTACAATCTGAGTATGATTTTGCCCTGGTTGTTTTGGTAGTAGCAGCTGTAACTGATTTGGTAGGAAAGCTATTATGAGTTAATGCACACCTATCTAACCAATTTTTTTAGTTGGATGGTTGGATAGCCAGAAAATGGATCAGCCAGTCCTCTAAAATGGGTAGTTTCTTAGATCCAATGGCAGACAAAGTACTTATTGGAATTTTGTTTTTGTCTTTGACATATGTGAATCTAATACCAGTTTTCCTAACAGGGTTGATAATCGCTAGAGATGTAATACTGGTGATGGCTGGATTCGTCATAAGATACAAATCTCTTCCCCCTCCAGTGAGTACTCATGAATTATTTATCAAGATGCATCATACTTGTTTGAGCTATAAAATGTGTAAATATTTTCAACAATATATAGATTTATTTCAAAAATATAATAAAAACAACAATAAAAATTAATTGGCGCTCCGGGGCGACTTCATTGATTCCAGTGGCGAATTTGCTTTTTTAGCTGCAGGAAAAACCTGCAGCACCGCATCATCTGAAGATCTTGATCTAACAATGTCCTCTCTATTATAAAACAAAATGTAGGGTCTCTCCAGAGGCTCCAATAAATTCAATGCATCGCCAGAACACTTCGTGACACAAGGCGTAATAATGACCAAATTCAACGCCAGAACCATAGTGAACAATGACTGCATGAATATTATAATAGTGGTCTGCTAGGTTGAAATGTTCATCTATTTCAAACCTTCCAAAGAGTTTCTTGCTTCCGTTAGAGGTTGAGTCTTGTTTGAAAATCATCAGTGTTATTATTAGATTGACTGGTGCCTCAGCTATACTTGTTTAACATATTTCAAGTTGCCAATGAATATTCGAAATATATGATTCTTATGGATCAGTACATGAAAAAGAGAACATCAAAGGAAAATACAATTTATGTATTCGCATTTGAAAAACAAAACCGAATCCAGGATTTATATATTTCGGGACTGTGGTTATGAATATATGTTTTTTATATTGCATTATGTCGAATATTCTAGGTGGGTACAGTTTCTCTGTTTGATAATTTTTTTAAATTCTTTTGCTGGCTTATTTTTAGTTCTATTGTTACACTTGTGTTATTTTGTTCTTACATCATATTTTCTTTCCTTAATGTTAACTATAATATTCTATGAATATAACTTGTTTTCCTCAAAACAGCATATCTGAAGAAAATTATAGTTTATTCCAAGGGTAATTTTCAATAACCACTTCTGGAGCATTTCGTGGGTTAAAAAAAAATTCGAAGACCGACATCCCCAATAATTTCTTATCTCAAATGTGATTGAATAAGTGAGCTATGCAATATAGTTAGATGATTCACTCCTGGAAAAACTTGCAGATTTTTCAATTTGTTAAAATCATTTTGACTTTGCTATGCTTCTGAGATATTTTATACTACCTGCTTCTTAAATCTCCACAATAGAATTATAATTGTGTTATCCTTATCAACAATTTTTGAAGATCTAAAGTTAAGTTAATTGCATTGGTAGAATGTAAGGAAAATATTTTTATTTTTTAACACTCACTGTATCATACCAGGGTTATAAGGTATAATATTCACGAGCGACATAAAAAACACCTGTGTTGCTGCAGATCAAATCATTCTCTATGCAGATGATACGAATATTTTAATGTCCAGAACAAATAATGAACAACTAGTAAAGAGTGGTAATAAGACATCAAAGGAAATCAGTGACTATCGTAGTAAAAATAGACTAGCACTAAACACCGCTAAGACCTATTATATTCGATTCTTACAAAAAAATATGAATGAATTCTGATAATGATCTCTACTAACAGTTAATGGAAAATTGATAGAAAGCCAAGAGATTATGAAGTTTATAGGTGTTGTGCTTGATAGGAAACTTTCATGGGAAAACCATATCACCACTTTATGTTCAAAACTCAGCACAATCACATACATTATTAGGAATCTGAGGGATACAGTATCAGCTGATGTACTGAGAATTCTTTATTACGGATTGGCACAGTCAGCTATGCAATATGGGGTAATATTTTGGGGATCCTCAACTCACATACTAGGGGCTTTTCGTTCCCAAAAAAAATCATCAGAGCTATGAATAAAAGTCACCTTCTAGAATCTTGTAAGCCACTATTCCGAAATTTTAAAATACTAACACTATCTTGCCTCTAGAGCTTGAACCTGGTATTGCTTATAAAGGACAATATAATATTGTATTGTCTATAGAATAGAATAGAATTTAATCATCTGTAAAAGCAGAACATAACATGTTACAAAATAATTTGGTACACAAATGTTACTACTTCATTAGACTAGTCAACTAAAATCAGAATATATACCTATTTATAAGACTATTCTACATACACAACCTACTTTCAACGCTAAAATTTGTTAAAAAAATCGTATTCAGTCATTTAAAAATTCCTTCACAGAATAGAATGCTTTTCTCAGCAAGAACTTACTTAAAAGAGATTTAAAAGTTTTAAAATCATTGAAACTTTTTTCACTGCCATATTTGTTCTTGAAATAATTATAAAATACGATGCCTTTGTATATGTGAGAGCATTGACCAATGGCAAGTCTCGAAAACGGCTGCTGCAAATTCCCTGCACTTCGTGTATTATAGTTATGGTGAGCACTATTTGTAGGTAGTACTTCCAATTGTNAAAAGTTATTCCTTTCTCTCAGTTCAGCATGGAGACAAACTAGGTTATGAATTGGGTCTAAAATGGTTTTCAATGTCATAGAAATTTACTTGCGGAAGAATATAGTTCAGACATTTTTTGCTGGTGTTGAACATTTCTCGATCATTCAAATCTGGGGATTAGAATATATTGGTTTAATTACTTCAAAAAACTTCAAGTTATAATAAATTGATGGATGTAGCCGTTACTACGTGGTAGGAAATCATAATGAAGAAAAGAGAAATAAAACTTTCTAGAAACTTCAATTTCTCTTTTTTTCACTTCAAGTTATACCGTTTTGGAATTTACCAGTAAATGGAAAAAGAGGTGGGTACTAAATTGGGACATTAGTACTAGTTATTTTAGTACAGGGCGAATATTTTCTTTTCAAAATAACGAGTTTTGTGTTCCGACGTTTCAGCTTCCATTTTTGGGCCATTTTCAAGAAATTGATGTGACTTGCCTATTCCTTAGATTGGTAAGGCTGTTACAAAGAAGACTGTTATCTGTCAAGCTTTCGATAAAAGAGCTAATAAATGTGAGTAAAGGTATAATGTGAGCTTCACAAAGTAGATATTAATTTTTTTTTGTAGAGGCCTGTTCTACTGTCTAGTTTGAAATTATATTTCAAGTTTCTGGAAAGTTGCTTTTGCAAAATTACAGTAATGTAATTTTGTCGAAATATTTTGCTATTCAGATCGAAATGATTATAGGGGCAGTGTCCTGTCTTTTGGCGATAGTATGTATGATTCTGGCATATTCACCTTCATCATAATCTTTTGGAAACTTGATGTGTACAATTATCTTCCTTCTGATACTTCGATAACTGGAACAATACTGAAAACTTCAACCGGGATTTACATTTATCAGTTATTGTTTATAATGATTATTTTTCATAACGATTCAGCATCATTGGACAACAAATTTAACCAATCACATGGCAGTGCCTGCCATATGCAGCCACAAATGTTAATCGAAAATAATACAGTAAAGTCAAATGTTACTTTTTTTTTATATAATCTGCAGGAGCAATACTAAATCTACTTCAAGAGTAATTGATCATTTGTGAATGGATATAAATAATGCTAATTATCATATCATTTTCTTTATTGATGAAAAATTTGTGCTTTTAGTGATGGTTTGTTATCAATTTTCATGAAGTAACGGGTATTCATAATCAACAATATATAATATATTTTCTGTCAAAAATTCTGGTTAATAGTGGATAGGAAAATATTATTTTTGGAACAAACATCTTTAGTTTGGTGTATAATGCCCGTTTTTAGTCAACCAATGGTGTTGCTATATGTTTCAAATGGTTTAATGAATGAATTCCCAAACGATTACGCATAATATATTGGCGAATAAACTTGTCAAGAGCCCTTTTATTATCACTAAAAGTCTCATTCATTATTATCATGCACTATTCGTGAAATGTCAAATGACAGATAGAGAAATACTGTTGAATTTCAAGATTGATATCCAAAAGTAACTAGAAATGTGGTAAATTAAGTATATTTTTTGTTTCTAAAATTACAGCAATTGTGGCTCTGCTGAAAAACCGGTTTGATATGGAACATGATTATCTGAAAACTGGCGAACCAAACTTCAAAATATTATCTATTGGGAACACATTCTCTCACCAGAACAAAAATGCTGTCTCTCGACGAGCACTTCCCTTACCAAATTGTCACCAGGAGATGACAAACTACTTCTTAAAAGCTATGTTAATGTTTTACATGCATCTACACGAATCATTGTCTTGCATGAAGGCCGATTTTGTTCTCGATAAAAAATTAAAATTTGCCGCTGAAGACTTGAAGGGACTGTGTAAACGGATAAATTGACCAAGTTGTTGAAAAGCTGGTCAAACACCCTGTCATATAATAATATCCTTAAGACACGTGTGTATAGAGACTATTATTCCTTAGCTGGCTGAAGTGTCATTACTTTAAAGCTACAGTAATGACAGTTGCTGTGGTTTAAATTTACGTCTTTCATCCAGAGAACACCTATCGTGCTTTGTGCTTACATCTACGTCTATCAATTGTCAATGGTCATTGGTTATTTATTTAGAAAATTTGTTGTGAATAACAAATAAGCAAGATATGTAAAAACAAATGTAAAATAAATTGAGTTAATTTTGATTTGAATAAACTCATATTTTCTTCTCCGAATTAAATATTTACTCTATTTCACTATGTCTTCAGGATCTAAAGGTTCCTAGTTATAATTTACAAAAGTATTCTTAAATTCAAAAATTGATGTTTTAGTTCCTGATGATGCGTCGGCTGGATCAATTTCTAGTTCTAGTGATAGTACAGCTGGAATGAGTATGGATCATTTACGACGGTACCTAGCCGAGAAGCTAGGGTTTTACGATAAAGAAGACCAGGCAGATTCAGAAAAAGTGAAGGTATCTAAATGGAATGCATTAATATGTTTTCAGTTGTTTGTCGATCATATTCTATGTTTTGGTTTTCTGTATTCTAGGTATTAGATAATGTTAGTGTAGATGGTGTTATCGATTATATAAAGAATAGAAATTGTAAAAATATCATCACGATGGCTGGAGCTGGAATATCAACCTGTGAGTTATCCAGACACATTGAATACTTAATCATATTAGAACTTTTATAAGTCGCTTTTCGAATTGAACTTTTGTCCAAATATCTAATTTCTTTACATATGCAGAAATATTTTTTTTAGCTGCTGGTATTCCAGATTTTCGATCACCAGGTACTGGTCTTTACCACAATCTGCAGAAATATAACTTACCTCATCCACAAGCAATTTTTGAGCTAGATTTTTTCCTGGAAAATCCAAAACCTTTTTTTGAATTGGCTAAGGAATTATATCCTGGTACATTCAAACCCACAATATCTCACTATTTCATAAAAATGTTACATGACAAAGGCATGCTTCTACGGCATTACACCCAAAATATAGATACTCTTGAGAGAGCTACTGGATTACCAGGAGACAAAATTGTAGAGGCTCACGGAACATTTCACACAGGGCACTGTTTGAAGTGCAGAGAAGAATATACACAAGACTGGATAAAAGGTAACTTGAGTATAGTTTACTAAATGATTCCTTATGAAGAAATGTTGATATTTTGTTATTGCATTTTTTTGAAATCACTTATCAGAAAAGTATTTTATTTCCTCTTAACTAATTTTATACTCAAGTCTTGTGTTTACAACCTTCAAGAATCAAGATGACATGCTTGAATCTGTGTTAGAAGTTATTCTTTATTTGAACGTAACTATTTATTTTCAGAAAAGATTTTTGAAAACGACATCCCAATCTGTGAAAAATGCCCTGGAATTGTAAAACCAGATATAGTATTTTTCGGAGAATCTTTACCAACCAAATTTCACACTCTACTTGTTGAAGACTTCAAAAAGTGTGATCTGCTTATTATTTTGGGATCTTCTCTAGCTGTTCAGCCATTTGCATCTTTAGTAGACAGGTAATCATGTTTTCTGCATGCAAGTTTAATTTTCGAACATATTTCAGATACTACCAAGTTGAATATTGTAAAAATTATTTTGCATGTTCATTATTTTTTCATGTAAATATTCTGAAAGACTTTAGTTATCTAATTATCTTTTCATTGTTTCTCAAAGTTGTATTAAAGAAGATAAAATCAACAGTAAACTTTTGTCTTCAATTTAATAGATTATAGGTTACTAAATATATCTGGTTAAAATTTGAATTGCAATTTGTAGTTCAAATTCTTGATTTTTTAGAGTATCATCAAATATACCCAGACTGTTGATTAACCGGGAAAAGGCCGGCCACCGTTCCGGAGTAATGGCTCTGCTTGGTATTGGTGGAGGAATGGACTTTGACTCTGAGGATAACTCTAGAGATGTGTTATGGCTGGGAGATTGTGATGAAGGTTGTGGCCTTCTGGCAGATAAGTTAGGATGGGGTGTATGTGATACATTTTTTTAGAAACTTCGTTTTCAAAATATATTCCTTCATTTCAGGATGAATTGAGAGAATTGTGTGAAAAAGAACATGAAAGGATTCAGAAGGAGGCTGAGAAGGAAAAGAAAAAAGTCAAGGAGGAAAAGACTGAAAAAGAGGAAGAGTTGGTAGAGGAGGTACTCCAAAAACTTTGAATGAAATTAAAAAAAAATGAACGTTCTGTGTCAAAAACGTTTTATTATAAGTTACAAATAAATAAAATCGTTGATATTACAATTTAGTAACTTCTTCCAAACAATGTATAATAGAGAGGTTTTCGCTGACATTCTGGGTGAATGCATCTATCTGTTTTCTTGATGGGCGTTGGTTGTTCCAGCGGTATACACAGTGATTTTGCGCCCATTGACGGAGCGCCAGGTTCGGAATTTTCACCATCATCGCTAAATGAAGAAAAATTATTTAATATTAAAATTCAGAGGTTTATAGGACATATACAAAAAGTGTAAATATTCATTGATTGCATATATTTCAAAATTTTATAAAAATATATGAACAAA